TATTATTAAATGCAAGTAACTGGCTTATTGTGAGAAATCTTCATTAACAGCTAGAGCAAGGTGCTTGCAGAGAAAAAGTGCAGGGAGGAGGCATACCTGCATGTGCTATGACTTCAGAGGCTGTAGCAGAGATGCTGCAGCTCCCAAGGGAGGCACTGCCCGGCTCTGTGACCGGGTGTGTGTGACCAGGGTTGCCTGGCAGCACCGAGCCCAGGCTTGTTCTGTTTGCATACGACCTCTAATTTCAGAGCACTGGTTGATTATTTATTCAGGAGCTGGCAGTGAAGTTTTGCCTCCAGGTGCTGGAGCCCCTGTCCTGCCTCGCTCAGTCTGTCTGTGTTGCCCCGTGGACAGACTGTGGAGAGCCCTGCCCTCCCTGATGTGTCCCTGATGTGTCCCCTGGCTCCAGGCTGCCCGTCTCACGTGGGGCTGATGGTCACTTCTCACTGTTGGAGGTTTTGGTGACCCATCACCGTTCTCCCAGAACGCTGTGCCCCTCAGACTGGGATGACACGGCTTCCTGAGAGGAGCTGGTGTCACCATGGTCATGGGAACATAGGTCAGCACACCCTGAAGAGGAGAAAAAAAAAAGAGGAAAAGTCTCTGTTCATCTTTGCAGCTTCATTCAGCCCAGGAAGACACAAGCTACTAACTTTTACAATGACACCACAATTCAGGATGAGTTTTGGGTCTATTCTCTGCTCACTGTGATTCTTTAACTCTCTCTTGCAGAGGTTTCAGAGTGTTTTTTTCTGGGGACGTACCCTTGACTCCAGTGTCCCTTTGTCTGTGACTTGTAGTGTTCCTTTTCTTCATCCACGGCAGCAAAGGTTTGTCTTTTGAGGCATATAGAAAGCTTTGGACACAAACGGAGTTCATTTTTTTTTTCCCAAACTGACCCTAAAATATAGGAAGACTCAAAACAATCATCACTGAATTACTTTTTGGAGAGCTCTTCTATTTTCTGGTTCCCCAGAGGGAAAGCAAGGGGATATTTGAAACTGGAGATATCTGCAAGCAGCCTGCAAGCTGAAGTATTTTCTATCAGTTCTCCCACCAGATTTTTTTTTACCTGGAAACTCCTTTCCATGGAGTATTTTTCTTTATGTTTCTGATTCAGAGCTATTTCTTGTGTGAAATTAGAGCCAACCCTGTTACACGCTCGCCTCTGTCTTTCAGGACACGTGCACATCACTGATTTCAATATCGCCACGATGCTGACCAAGGACAGCCCTGTCACCACCATCGCTGGCACAAAGCCCTACATGGGTGAGAACCACTGGTAGTTACACGACCTCCAATCACCATCCTGTGGGCTTTGGGGGGGACTGCTGTGGTGGGACACAGGTGGAGACGTTTTTGGTTAGAGTTGGGATTCTTCTCTTCCTGATCCACATCCAAATATACACGGTTTGAAGCGAGGAGCACCCTGGAGAGGGGATGCAGGGTGGGGACAGGAGTCCCTCCCCAGAAATGCCTCAGTGGAGCTGGGGAATGTGCGTGTCCCACTTCACGGGGGAGACTAAGAGATACTTAGGCCACCTTATGCCCAGATCGAGTGAATGTGCTTACTCTGAGGCGCATTTACTATGAATGGTAGGCAACTCCCATGTCAGTAAAAGGAATTTGTTCTTTTTGGGCTTTGGAGGGCAGAGAGTTTCACGTGGAGAGGACGGTGGTGCTACTGAGTGGCCCTGGTGCAGGGGCATGGCAGCACGGGAAGGGCACGGGTCAGATGTTCTGCGTTGCTCATTTCCACTTGGGATTGCAGCAAGGCAATTTCCCCCCCCCCCCCCCTGTATTTCACAGCACCTGAAATGTTTAGCTCCACAAAACCCACCAGCTACTCCTTCGCCGTGGACTGGTGGTCGCTGGGAGTCACTGCCTATGAGCTGCTCAGAAGCCGGGTATGTGTGTGTGGCTCTGTCCTTGGACACGCTTGGGGAGGGCTAATGCTTTACAGCAGGGATGAGACAGCCAAGCTCTTGAGCTGATGGCACTGTTTCTAAAAGCAGGAGTAGAAGTTTTGTGTTTTGTGCTCATACTTGCTGGCACAGCCGTGGCGAGATGGTGACGCTCGGGCAGCTGCACCGCGAGGGGCAGCGAAGGGAGACCTTGAGGTCCATCTAGTGCTGGCACACGCCAAGCGCGCTGCACCTGCTCCGAGCTCACTATTTACAGCCACTGTTCTCTTAATGCCCTCCTGCCTTCTTCCAAAATAAGGTAAAAAAGTCTGTGAATGAAAACTTTCAAGATGGAAACACTCTACCAGCTTAAGTTCTCTCTCCAGGTAAAGCAGCAGAATTGTTGTAGATGGAAAATAAATAGGGAGGTGACTTCACCGGTGCTGTACACTGCATGTGTCACTGCATCACTGGCGGTACACCGCAGCTGATGCAGGAGGAGTCCCTGGTGCTCCAGCGCACCGTGTGCTCCTCTGCAATGGGCAGAAGGGGCTGTCACCCTGCATCCTGATGTCCACCTGAGGCTGGTCACCCTTCCTGGGACATCCTTTTCTGAGCTGATTTTTATTGCTGGGAGGCGTTTGTCTCCTTTTCTCCGGCAATGTCCCCAACAAGAGGTGAAGAACATTTTACAGGGAGTATCAGGAGTGCTCTAACCACTGCGCAATGTGTCATAGCTTTGTGAGATAAAAACGCTGCAAAGACCAAGCAAATTCCCACTGGCTGATAACTCTGACTTCTGGGGTTTGCTCCTGCCTGTTCTGCTGTTAAATGCCCAGTTATTAGCATAGTTCTTCCTGACATTTCATATTTTCAAATGAGCCACGGTCACACACAGGGAGAGATGTCCCACAGGAGGCTGGGGACTGGACAGTGAGAGAGACTGTGTGAAGCTTCTGTCTAACCAGATTTCCCAAGGAGTTTGAAAAGCAGAGAAATTCAAGTGCTTGTCTTGTGGCGTTTCCCACAGAGGCCGTACCACATTCGGGCCAGCAGCTCCTCGAGCGAAATCGCGCACGTGTTGAAGACGGCTGCGGTGATGTACCCGGCCGCGTGGTCCCCGGGCGTGGTGGAGCTGATCAGGAAGGTGAGGGGGCTGGAGGGTCCCAGTGAGTGCTCCTGCCACCCCCAGCCTCTGCCCTACGTGGGGGGAAGCCCTTGCAGACAGTGCCCAGGCCAGTGTCAGTGCCTTTGAGAGCACACAGAGATAAATGTCAGCCGCAGCAGGTGACGGCTGGCAGCGCTGGCAGCTGCTGCTGCACCTGCTTGGGAGGACACCAGCCTTGGCTTCCGGAGTTTCTCCACCGCTTTGCATTCTGGAATTAACTGACTTAGAAGCAGCTACTGATATACGTGTCAATAAATTTAGCCCAAAAATTAACATTTTTTTAATCCTCAAGAAACATTTTTTCCCAGTAATGGAAAGAAGCGTGGACACTGTTGTAATCCTTTGATGCCGCGTAGTTTATGCACCGCTGCATTTTTTTTTTCAATAAAGCCGTTATAAAAATTGCTTCAAAATCATTACTGAAATAATTTTGAAGCTGAAAATGCCATTTGAAATGAAGCCATCCCTTCAATAAACGAGGCTATGGCTTAACAGTGGCAGCAAAACTGAGCACTTAGCCTCTGCAGAGCAGCACCAGCAGCAAATTTTAGGGAAGCATGTAAATAGTTTTTTCATTTCAAATAAGTGTGGGCAATGAAGTAGCACTTAATGTAGCTTTCAGCTGTTTTTTGTTCCCAATAATGTATCTATGTATTCTGTCATTTCTGATGAAATAGACGGTCAAACATTTTAACAAAAAGAGGCTGTCAATTCGTTGATGAGACAGAATCATGGTGCATTTTCCAGGAAGAAAATTGCAGGACATCTCCATTTGCTGAAAATTCAATGAAGCCAGTATTTCATTAAGCCTAACAGTAATACAGGAATATTTGTTGCAGATGTCCTATGTGTTGTTACGCCGGCAGTTTTTTCCTGGACCACAGCAGGCCGCAAGCCATGGAGGCTCCCTTGTGAATAAATAATACAATGTCACAATTATTTAAATTTCCCAGCACTCCTTTGCATCTGGTTTAACAGCTGTATGTATTATATATATGAAGCCAACTGCGGCCCCTTCCTGGCTCAGCCATCCCCCGTGGATTTCTGTATTTATTACCGGCCCAGGCAGGTGTTTGTCCTCGCTGGGGCTGGCGTCAGGCTGGAGTCCAGAGCTCTGCAGGGGGAGCTGGGGACAGTGCTGGTGGCTGGCTGCACGCCAGCACGAGGAGGGCTGGGTGGGTCACCTTGCCAGTACCTGCCCCAAAGGGTTTGGATCATCTGGTTTTCCTGCTGGGTTTTAGGTGTGCATGGTGTCAGGAGCTTCTGCAATGTATAATCTTTAACAGAGACAAGTTCAACTCTTTCCTGCCACAGGATCCCTACAGCAATGTTAAAAAAATTATGAAAACAAGCAGTGTGAAGGCATACTTTCACACTGGAATAAGAATATTACTTTAGTAGAGCGAGAAAAGAGGATGTTTTATTGATCCAGTATTAAAAGGAGAACGCAAACACCTGAGTGGAACTCCCCGTTCCAAACAAATGCTTATGTTTAACGTTGGACAGATTGTTTAATGCCACTGCACTGTCTCATTGTCTGCTCCTACAGTGGGGATAAAAGTAATCTGTAAAAACAGAAATAAACAGAGGCAGAGCCTGTGAGCCTGTGGCATCCCCTGGTGAAGGGACTCCGAGCCAGAGCAGGAGAGGCACGGGTCCAAATGCCAGGGCTGACGCGGTGTCCCTGCACCATGCGTCCTCAGCTGTGCTCCACAGAATGCGGGCCCCGTGGGGATGGTCTCATCTCTTCCCTTTAATTCTTGCTGCAGTTGCTGGAGCTGAACCCTGAGAAACGTTTTTCTCAGCTGAAGGACATCCAGTCCTTCCCGTATCTGTCTGATGTGAACTGGGATGCTGTTCTCCAGAAAAGAATAATACCAGAATTCATTCCCATGGTAAGGCTATTTGAGTGTAAACGTTCCTCACACCCAGCACTGGGACATGGGATGTTCTGACAAATTTCCACTGAAGCATCAGGCGTCACAAGAGGAAAAGAGAGACCAGGGCAGAGCTGTCTCTTCCCCAGAGTGTGTAGCAAAGAGTAATGGAGGGAGACCATAGCATAGGTGCCCCAAAACAGATGCGCCCTGTTTGTAACGTTCCTGGAATTTCTGGGTGCAGAACTGCAGCTGAGTGTTACAGCCCACAGGGCTGTGCATCTGTGTGGGATGGACAGTGCCTGTGAGCCCTCTTGTAGCTGACACCTGCTCTGAGCAATGCTGCTCCCCACAGCCAAAAACCTGGTGCACCAGGACAGGCTCAGCAGCAGCCTGGAGATCACCCACCATCTTCTGGGAATTGTTTTCTCCCGTAACGCCTCCCCCAACAAGCTCATTGATAACAATAACAGCAAATAGTGCAAACACTAGATTAGTGTTTCTGGGCCTTTTTAAATTAAATTAAAACAGCACACAAGTAACATAACCCTTGTGGAGAATAGTCCAACTGCTCCAAATGGTTTTCAGCAGAAGTTGGGCTAAACTATGAATATTTGTTAATCGTACATCTGCTCTTGCTGCTGGGTTTCTCTGTGGCGGGTACAACTCTGTACTGATTGAAGACCGGTTCCACCGGGTTGTTGTGCTACTCTCAGAAAGGCACAACCCAACCAGGATCCTCATCCTCATTGCCACTCCAAAGCAGCCAAAGGGCAGAGTAGAAGCAGGAGTGCAAAAGGAGCCACTGAGACACCTTGAATATAGCCCCTAGCTGAAGGGAGCAATAAAGTATATGAGGAGTATATAGCCAGTGCTCTTGGCTGCATGTGCAATAATAATTAGTGCATTTTTTTTACAAAATTCAGCTCCCAGATGCAGTCCAGGTTATAAGAGAGACTCCTTAGGCTCTTATCACATGCGGCCACCTCTCTCTTCCTTCCAGAAAGGCAGACTGAACTGTGACCCAGCCTTTGAACTGGAAGAAATGATCCTGGAATCCAAACCACTTCACAAAAAAAAAAAGCGCTTGGCTAAGAAGGAGAAAGACACAAGCAAAAGCAATTCATCCCAGGTAAGAGCAAGTTGAGTACAGGCGTGTGGTCAAGGAGGTCTTTAATTTTTCAATGATTGCCATCTAGCAGGACCACAGAAAACTGAACAGAGTATTTTTTTCCCTTGTGACCAACTTTATTCCTGAAACTCTCCCCCATCTTCCCTGTGGTGAAAGGCAGAATGTGTACTCACTGGCTTACTGCAAGAGAAGAGCCCTGATGCCTTTCTCCCCACTGCAGGGCCAAAGATGCTCTGTGCCCAAACATATTGCCATGTCTCATTGAAACTGTCCTTGTAATTTCTCTTTTCCGTGTCACCTGGGAATGTATTTCTTATTCTCTTTTATTTTTCCGGCCAAAAGGCCAGCCGCTTCCAGAAGCACCTGGAAATGCTCCAGAGGGACTTCATTGTTTTCAACAGAGAAAAGTAAGTTTTGATCCAGAGGTAACAGAAGAGTCACTGACCCTTGCCAATGCCTTTGACAGTTTTTGGGGGCCCAGGGCTGGGGGAGCTGGGGGGGGGTGCCCTGGGGGCCCTGTGTTAGAGGAGCTTGGGGCACTCAGGGCTGGAGGAACCGTGGAGTGGGGGGCAGCTCATGCCAGGCAGTGGGGAGCTTCAAGGCAGCTGTGCTTCTGTGGGATCTTGGAAGAAGAAGAAGCCTGGGCTTTCCCTCACAGCTCAATCATCCTTTTCTATCCCCAAGGGTAAGACCCCACCACGACAACATCCAAGAGACCATGACAAAAACTGGAGGCCCACACAGGGAAGACAATCAGAACAACAACCTCTGAGAACAGCTCAGACCCTGCAGGGGACTTCCTCATGGGCCTGGGGCTCACCCACTCACGCACCTTCACAATGTCAGGCCATGGACTTGTCTTCTGCTGCTGGGACCCTGCCAGTAGCCCAGGACACAGAGGAGAGCTGGGGCATCCACTCCCTCAGCTTTCCACCCCACAGCATGGAGGGAGAGGCTGTGGGGGCTGCCTTGCGATTTGCCGCACTTGGTTAGATTCAGATCCTATTATCTTGCCTTTCCTGGGGGCAGAACGGGACCACAAGACGACACATAAGACAGTGTCCACCATTCTGGCTCGGCTGGCAGGTGCCACAGCCCTTGGTGTCACCACCATGCAGGCAAGTGCAGCAGTGTGCCGAGAGCTGCGTTGTGCTGAGGGTGCCCACCAGGGCCGCTGCCCTGCCGCGCCTCAGGGCTCTGCACAAGTTGGCATTCCCGCATGGATGGGCTCATGGCTGGCTGCCCCGGGGGAAGAGGTGGCTCCCAGATGCAGAGCTTTCACCAACCAACACGTTGTGACAAAAGTGGCCTTTGCTTACGGCTCCTTGGCGGGAGCTCCTGCAGACATTCTGAGGGTGGGCACAGGAGGCCAGGGACGAGCTCCTTCCTTAGCTGGGAGGGGGCAGCAAAAGTTTCCCCGCCCATTTAGCTCTCTCTCCATGGGCTGGCGTGGTGGGTGGTCAGTGTGCAGACAGATGTGGACACCAAGCATAACAACCAGGTGCTGGTGAGTCCAGATGCTTTACTGGTCAAAGCCTGAAAAATACATTCACCACGATACTAAACTGCTGCAGCTCACTGAATCGGATGGGGTTTGGCTTCCAAAACCAGAGGGGAATTTGAATGTGTATTTTGAATCTCTCTGCCACTGAAATCACGCTTGATTTAAGCAGGGACTGTCTTCAGGAACAACTGCACTGCTGGTGTGGTCTTGCCAAGACTGAGATTGGCCAAAGCATTGCTACTGCGGTAATGCTGAGAATGACGCTATTATTTAAATGCTTTGACAGGCCTGAAGTTTCACCTCCTTATTTGACATTTTTCCCATTCTTAGCAATGTAGTGAATGCATGACGAAGTCTTTGCCTCCCATTAACCCAGAGGTAAGCGCCCTCTCTGTGCCATGTGTCTCTGCAGTGGTTGGCAGCGGGAGTCCCCGCATCGAGCAGTGCAGTTTGTGCCTAAAAACAAGCTGTAGTTTGGCGTCTTCCATGTTCTGGCCCCTCCTGCAGCGGTGGGGGTGGGTGTCCCACCGCTGGCTGCTCCCCAGCCGGCTGCCAGCCCTGCAGGGCCCCTCCCAGGGTGCCAGGGCGAGGGGAAGGGGCTGGCACCACGGCTGCAGCACGTTCCCTGCTCCATGTGCTGCAGCCTCGCCACCTGTGCGCACAGCCACCAGGAAAGGCCACCCTGTTCCGCCCAGGGAGCTGTAAAGCTGGAGCAGAATTAGTTCATCAGTAGGCGGGTATTGGAGTCTTCAATGAGTGCCACTGTCATGGGAAAGTCACCTTTTCCTGCCCAGTCACAACACTCCTTTCCCCGCTCCATCAGATGGTGCCCCAATTAATGGCACAGTGTGCTTGCTCTCCCCTTCCCCTGCCATGCTGGCTTTCAAGCAATGGGACTTTGAGTGGGGTGGGGACTCCATGCCTCTCTGCCTTTGACTCATCATTCCCAGGAAGGCTACCCAAAGCACCTCCTGCATTCTCCATTGGTCCTCTCTGCTCTCTGCCCAGTCTGCCGTGGGACGGTGCTGACAGCTGTCCCTGGCTCCTGCACAGCACACGCCACCGTTGCCTTGCTCTGGTGCAGGTAGAGGTTCAGATACCGTAAGTGCATTTATCTGGAACACCAGCTCTGCTCCTCACTAGGGAAAAATCTGCTGCTGCTGCTGCTGCTGCAGAAATACCTCTCCACTGGCTGGCCAGAAAAGCCCCAAAACAACTGATGTACTCAAATGGAAAGAGCACTGCATATTTAAAAATTCCCCAAAAATTCTACAACCACCTCTCCATTCCTCTGTAGCGGAGGCACAATCTCAGCTTAACCTCTACCAGGCAACAGGAAAAAAGCCTTAATTTATTGATGGAAGAACTTCACAAAGCTTGTAAGGACAGCCTTCCTCACTCTGGCACAACTTAAGGACTGTGGCAGGGACAGCTTGTCCTGCCCGAGTTGCAGACATGCAAAAATAAGTATTTCAAGGTCAAACACTGAAGAACAGGGAGAAAAGTGTATTTGTTTAGCATACCTGAAGCTGACCTTTAATTTTTGCAATCTTTAAAAAACAATCACTTTCTTTTGCATGCTTTGCAAGCTTTAAAGGGCAGCACCCCTCAGTCTAACCCAGGCAATGCCTGACGGAAGGGGAACATTTCACTGACGGGCATCCACCACGGAAAACAGCCTCCAAGGCTGTCCAGCCAGGATGATCTCAAAGCTGTGCCCAGGCAGTGCCATGTGGAGCCAGTCCCTGTCAACCCACAGAAGACAGGCACAGTTCTTGCCAGGCAGCCACAGCCCACGGGGGGGCCAGGCCAGGCTCAGAGACTGCATGGACAAACCGAACCGGCTTTTACAAACACTTGCATTGTGCTGTTTTGCCAATACCTTTACCTGAAAAGCTACACCGACACCCTGACGCGTAGCAGTGAGCACTGCATGGTGTTGCCCTGACAGGCTGTTGCTGCAGCCCCCTCCAGCCCCAACACCACCCAAACCCCCTCTGCTGCCCCAGCCCAGCTCCCTGCAGGTGCAGCCGGGCACTGCCCCTGCCAAGCAGCACCAGCCTGAGGAAGAGAAAAGCCAGCCGACAACATGAGCTGTTTGAAGGAACAACTTTTTTTTAATAAAGTGTACAAAGTAGTAAAACTCCTTACAGAAGGTGCTGTGACAGCCGTTACAGAGATGGTTCGAGCTCCCCCACAGGCCTCGCGATGAAATGCCAGAGCATTGGGTGGAGATGAAGGAGATGAACGGGACAGACACACCTGTCCCTGTGAGCTCAGTGCACCTGCCCTCCCCGTCCAACATCCTGCCTCTGGCCAGACGCTGCCCCTCACCCGCCTGGCCGGGTCCCCGTGGGCCACTGCCACTGTCCCACACCACGGCATCCCACACACGTTCAACACCAACAACACTGAACCGAGCAACCTGTCTGAGCAGCATGCATACAGAGAGGAAGAGCAAAACACAACCCAACCAAACCCACAATAGTAACAACAACAGAACTTTTAAGGCTATGCAAAAACAAAATGAAGCAACATCTTTAAAGCTAGGTAGCAAGTAGCATTTGTGAAACATAAGGCTTGAGGCTTATTGATTCTTCAGAACAGGTTTATTTCTTTTCATTCCTAAACACCAATGTACCATTTTTCTTCCTTTGCTTAAACAGGGATTTTGTTTCCTCCTCAGCTGGGACATTTAGCTCAGAGAGGTGATGTTGGAGCGGCCTCCCGGGGGTGCAACAATGCGCTTGCTTGCTGAGCGCGTGCCTTCATCAACCTGGGCACCTGGGATGGGACGAGGAAGTACAAAGGGAAGAGGGAAAGCAGAGTTTAGAGCACCTTCTTCACAGGACTGAGCAGTCAGGTAGCCTGGAGTCTTGCCGAGGCCCTCCAGAGGTTGTCTACTGCAACCTGCTCCCCCTCCAACTCCACCAGCAACCCCAAGAGCTGCAGTGGCTTGAAAGTCTCTGCAGATGCTTCGTGAACAAACCCACACAACAAGAGCAACACTGGATGCTGTGCTGGCCTCCACAGTCTGCCTAGCTTCTACTGCAAGTGCAGCTCCAGCCATGTCCTTTAAGGGACACACAGGATCTTGCCCTGCCACGATCCACTCTTGTGCTTACCTTGCCGCAGGCCACCTCTAACTGCCCCCCTGCCCCGGGCCAGGGACACATGGCCTGTGGCTCTGCCCCCTCTCAGCCCAGCCACCACACGTGCTCACCTGACAGGCTGAATCCAGACTGATGGAGATTCCTGACGGGCGGTGTCTGACGTGTGGGGGACCCCCTGGTTGACCCCGCAGGGGTTCCCCCCTTGGGGGTGGTGGTCAGGTCAAACACAGGTCCGTCATACAAGCCCCGGGGCACAGCGTGCATCTCTGCCATCTGTCAGCAGAGAGAAGAGGACAGGGACAATTCTCTGAGCCCAGGTAACATCATGCTCCAGCCATTCCCCAGCTCCTCGGTCCCCCTGCAGAAAGATCTTACACTGCCATGCACTGTAAGTCCTGCAGCCCTGAGGCCCGGCACAGCCCCACTGCCCTGCAAGGTGTGCAGAGCCACTGCAACAGCCTATCACCCAGATGGGGTTTATGCTGCACAAAGTGGGGAGGAGAAGGCAATTCTGGCTAAACTCTTCATTTTAAATAGCATTTCCCTCCAGACTCCTGCTGCAGCAGGACAGGATGAGGGGAGACGTTACCACTGCTAACCTTGAGGAGCACCTGCCTCCACCACGGCACCAGGGCTCCCTATCCAAGCCTCACCTATTTTGTACATTCAAAATACACAAGCAGTTTGCAGCACTGCTTAGAGGGTCCAGCAAGAACAAGCAAAGGAAAACCAACCAGTTATTAAGGGTAATTTGGGCTAACAGTATCCCAGCTCTGTCTCCTGGCATCCCCATC